ACAGCTTTTATATACAATTTGTACAAGTGATTGAATGTTTCTTTGGAAATTTGCATAATGTAAGTTTTGTTTCAAAGTTCGATAACTCAAATTATGTCCCTTTGAACAACGTAGACAAAACGATCATTGATTTCTGCTTTATATTATGTAAATGTTTAAGCAATGTTAACGAGTAACAGGCTTGTATACTATATATAAGACGTTAGAGAGACATTCACAATTGACCATGTGTTAAAGTCACAGTAAATAACGGTTACGGGTAAAGGACTTAGTGTGAGCTTATCTCACTAAACAAGTACTGCTAAGCAGTATTGAAAAGCGTCTTTGATTGTTCTACAAAGTCATCGGCGCTTTGTTTGAGTCTCAAAATATTCACTCATCAGTCAAACAGGAAAGTTTATATTTTTTCCACTGTTTTGCCTAATAATAAAAATTGACCAAGTATGTTTTAATTGGACAGTACATCAAGCATTACAATACAATGTATTGTAGGACAGTTATAATTTTATTTAAAAGCAAAATTAATTAGCTTGCAATTAAAGAACTTCACTCGACACTCCAATTTTCCTCGGGACGTTTCGCATATATCCATATCAGTCTTTCAATAAAAAAAAAATCAGCAAAAGTAACTGTTCTTTGATGAAACTTAGCTCTAAGTACTGTTATCAGAATATATTCTGTTTATCCTTCCTGGTGCTTATCTGCATCACTCTCAAAATTTACACTCATCAGTCAAACACGAGATTTCTCTCTTTTTCAATCTTTCATAAACCCAAACTAGGCGTTGCATAGAATAATAAACAGCAATGAAAAAAAATGTCGAAAAATCCTTCGACATTATTACTGCATTTTTAATTTAGATTCATATGAAATAGAACAATCATATCAGAAATTGTGAATGAAAATATTCCATCCAGTCTGTTTTTCAAAACTCTTTTAAAAATAAAAATGTATTGGAAAATATGTTAATTTACACCTTATTTACAATACCATAATGTAAAACAAAATGGACTTCATTTTATTTATTGACATTGCATTGTAGTGCAGTGCAATAAAATGCAGTTAAATTCTTATTGTGGTAAACAGTATAAATTCTCTTGCAAACAAAAAAAAAATCCACTCATCAGTTAAAAAGGAGTGTTCATTTCTTTTGGATCTTTTGCGTACACTCAAACTAGTCATTCGATAAAAAAAAAATAAAATAAAATAAAAAAAAAACCAGTAACACGTAACTTTGCGAAAGTCCTTCGACTTAATTACTGATTGTTAATTTTGATTCATATCAAAGAAAACAAATATTTAAGAATATGAGAATAAAAGAAATGCTCTCTAGTCTGTTTTTGAAACCTTTTTTTCAAAGCATTAAATGAAAATGAGTGTGTGTATTCAATCAGTTTTTAAATTCAATTAAGAAAAAAAAATTGACCAAGTTAATTTTGATTGGACAATTCGGCAGGCATCACAATGCATCGCATTGTATTGCAGCAGAGTGCAATATGGTGCAATTCTACTTGTATTTAAACAAGCACAATTATTTTACTTGTCAATGTATTAGAAATATTCCCCACCATCCACCCTCCAAAGACAGCTTTTATATACAATTTGTACAAGTGATTGAATGTTTCTTTGGAAATTTGCATAATGTAAGTTTTGTTTCAAAGTTCGATAACTCAAATTATGTCCCTTTGAACAACGTAGACAAAACGATCATTGATTTCTGCTTTATATTATGTAAATGTTTAAGCAATGTTAACGAGTAACAGGCTTGTATACTATATATAAGACGTTAGAGAGACATTCACAATTGACCATGTGTTAAAGTCACAGTAAATAACGGTTACGGGTAAAGGACTTAGTGTGAGCTTATCTCACTAAACAAGTACTGCTAGGCAGTATTGAAAAGCGTCTTTGATTGTTCTACAAAGTCATCGGCGCTTTGTTTGAGTCTCAAAATATTCACTCATCAGTCAAACAGGAAAGTTTATATTTTTTCCACTGTTTTGCCTAATAATAAAAATTGACCAAGTATGTTTTAATTGGACAGTACATCAAGCATTACAATACAATGTATTGTAGGACAGTTATAATTTTATTTAAAAGCAAAATTAATTAGCTTGCAATTAAAGAACTTCACTCGACACTCCAATTTTCCTCGGGACGTTTCGCATATATCCATATCAGTCTTTCAATAAAAAAAAAATCAGCAAAAGTAACTGTTCTTTGATGAAACTTAGCTCTAAGTACTGTTATCAGAATATATTCTGTTTATCCTTCCTGGTGCTTATCTGCATCACTCTCAAAATTTACACTCATCAGTCAAACACGAGATTTCTCTCTTTTTCAATCTTTCATAAACCCAAACTAGGCGTTGCATAGAATAATAAACAGCAATGAAAAAAATTGTCGAAAAATCCTTCGACATTATTACTGCATTTTTAATTTAGATTCATATGAAATAGAACAATCATATCAGAAATTGTGAATGAAAATATTCCATCCAGTCTGTTTTTCAAAACTCTTTTAAAAATAAAAATGTATTGGAAAATATGTTAATTTACACCTTATTTACAATACCATAATGTAAAACAAAATGGACTTCATTTTATTTATTGACATTGCATTGTAGTGCAGTGCAATAAAATGCAGTTAAATTCTTATTGTGGTAAACAGTATAAATTCTCTTGCAAACAAAAAAAAATCCACTCATCAGTTAAAAAGGATTTTTCATTTCTTTTGGATCTTTTGCGTATACTCAAACTAGTCATTCGATAAAAAAAAAATAAAATAAAATAAAAAAAAAAACCAGTAACACGTAACTTTGCGAAAGTCCTTCGACTTAATTACTGATTGTTAATTTTGATTCATATCAAAGAAAACAAATATTTAAGAATATGAGAATAAAAGAAATGCTCTCTAGTCTGTTTTTGAAACCTTTTTTTCAAAGCATTAAATGAAAATGAGTGTGTGTATTCAATCAGTTTTTAAATTCAATTAAGAAAAAAAAATTGACCAAGTTAATTTTGATTGGACAATTCGGCAGGCATCACAATGCATCGCATTGTATTGCAGCAGAGTGCAATATGGTGCAATTCTACTTGTATTTAAACAAGCACAATTATTTTACTTGTCAATGTATTAGAAATATTCCCCACCATCCACCTTCCAAAGACAGCTTTTATATACAATTTGTACAAGTGATTGAATGTTTCTTTGGAAATTTGCATAATGTAAGTTTTGTTTCAAAGTTCGATAACTCAAATTATGTCCCTTTGAACAACGTAGACAAAACGATCATTGATTTCTGCTTTATATTATGTAAATGTTTAAGCAATGTTAACGAGTAACAGGCTTGTATACTATATATAAGACGTTAGAGAGACATTCACAAATGACCATGTGTTAAAGTCAGAGTAAATAACGGTTACAGGTAATGTCGCGTGTAAAGGACTTAGTGTGAGCTAATCTCACTAATCAAGTACTACTAAGCAGTATTGAAAAGCCTCTTTGATTGTTCTACAAAGTCATCGGCGCTTTGTTTGAGTCTCAATATATTCACTCATCAGTCAAACAGGAAAGTTTATATTTTTTCCACTGTTTTGCCTAATAATAAAAATTGACCAAGTATGTTTTAATTAGACAGTACATCAAGCATTACAATACAATGTATTGTAGGACAGTTATGATTTTATTTAAAAGCAAAATTAATAAGCTTGCAATTAAAGAACTTCACTCGACACTCCAATTTTCTTCGGGATGTTTCGCACATATCCATATCAGTCTTTCAATAAAAAAAAAATCAGCAAAAGTAACTGTTCTTTGATGAAACTTAGCTCTAAGTACTGTTATCAGAATATATTCTGTTTATCCTTCCTGGTGCTTATCTGCATCACTCTCAAAATTTACACTCATTTATATTACCCATTGCGATATACTGTAATATTTTTAACTGTATTGTTAATGTATTACAATATTTTCAATAACAGTTAAAATGATTGTTCTTATCTTATTAACCTCCATTTATAAGCAGAGTGTATATTACTATTACAAATGCGATGTAACAAGAAAGTTCTTGCTGATTTCGCTACAGTTTTGTAACAAAATGCAACCATACAACAGCAATCTTACCGTTTGGCACGATTGAAAATGTTTCTGACATCTTAAATTTCATATTTTACTTCAGAAATCCCAAGCCCAAGCATTCTGCCAGTATATCAGTACTGAGAAAATGTATCGCAATACAATATTTTTTGTCAACGAATCGCAATATATCAGAATAACGATATTTTTGCACAGCCTTCAGTGCAATAATAATATGCCAAAGTATGAATCGCACTTACAGAAGAAGCCATACAATATTTGATAGGATAGATCTCAACTACATGAACAGCATTACACACAGTGACTCATTAACAAGAGTCAATTTAAAAGTTTTCACTATTTGAGACAGTGAAATGAATCAACCTGCCAAATATTTCTTTGACACTTTAAATATTTTACAGCACTCTAAGGATAAGATATAAACAATCCTACATTTCTACACAGGACAAAGATTTAAACTATAAAGGGTTGGAAAACATACCCATAATTCAACTATTTTAGAAATTGGCACTAAAGAAGTCTAATGACAAACATATTTTTTATAATTTTATTATGCGGACATGTATTTCACGCAAGACCTGAGACATAATGTACATGTATATCATACGCATACTTGGTATTATTGATATGTCACGTCAGAAAGTGAATCACAGCAAGGCAAAGTCAATACGTGTATTTTATCCAAATTTTAAAAGCACATGTCATACACATTAAATGAATTGCACAATCTACAGATGTAATAAAAAAGGTTTTGCTTTGACATTTTTGAACTTAAACAAGGTACAGAGTGTACTCTCCACTAATATATTGAGCAAAATGAGTATTTATTCTACAATAAATGTCTAAACATGATTGCATTTATTAGTCAGGAGAAACCTATAGCTATTGCCCCCCCCCCCCCCCCCCCATTAAAATGGAGAGAAAAAAAATTATCAGTCAGTGCATGATCATTTGAAGCAGTTCACTCACAGAGACCTAGTGCACACAGTATACATAAGGTAAGTGTGAATTTTCATTGCCGATGTGAAATTTCTGACCAGCCAAATGACACTAAGGCAATTTAACAAACTTTTATAATAATCTGATGCTTGAAATTTTGGTCATCACCAAATAAAATGACCATTCGAAGTCACACATCAATCTCATTCTTACCCCAGTACAGTAATGGCTATTTCACACTTTTAAAATTTTTTTAAAATTTAAGGTTATATTTTAGACTGCTGGATGTTAAACTCTGAAAATATTATAGAAAATCAGTGCATATAATTATATGGTATATATATACAACCAAAATATATCAAAAAGAGTACAATATTTCACAAAACATTTGTAAACAGATGTTTGCAGGCCATCAAGTTTTTTTGTTGACATTTTAGACCTTGTTTTCTTTTGCACAACAAAACAAATATTCTCAACATATCCACCTAATATATAATGTAGTGGTACATTTCCAATCCATAGATGTGGACAAATTTCATATAAAAACTTTTACAAGCCTTAATTAGCAGATTATGATGATTTTACATTATTATATATTGTGTTCAACACAAGGTGCCTGTGGATAGAGAGTCAGTTGTATTTTCTTTCTTTTAAAAATGTTATTCATTAATAACAAAATGAACATCACATCTGTAAATACAATTACTCCAATTAACTGACAGCATAGCACATGAAACAAAGAAAGTTCAATCTTCCTGTAAAAAAAAAATGTTTAGATCCTATGCAAGAAAACATTTTGGCATATTAAAACTCTGACAAACATATACACACTGGGTTAATATTCATGGAATGGTTTAATTAATGATCAAAGAATTCCTTCTTTTTCTTCTCCACCTCTGGACCTGACATCTCTTCTAATATTTTGAAGATAACAGAGAAGTCCTTGCCTCCATATCCTTTTTCGGTCATTTTGGTGTAAATCTCTAGTGCCTCCCGTCCTAGAGTGATGGCAGAGTTAGTGTCCTTGGCTGCATTGTTAGCCAGACCTAGATCCTGTATTGCAATGGTATATATGTAAATATTAATTACAGTTTTACATGATTAAGTATTATTTTACTTACAGTATGCCAGTGGTTTCTTTTTAATACTGTAAATCACATTTTATTTGTGAGAACTTTACTTTTGGGCAATTATGCCAGACAGTATGCTTGCCAAAATTTCTTTCTCACGTATTTTTTTATTAGTATAGATTATATTCTACTATAAACCACAATTGGTGAAAATTTTGTCTCGCTTATAAATTCCAAATACCTATTTTGCGAAAATAAGGTGTCATGAAAAATTGGTGATCTACAGTAAATTTCACAATATTACTACATAGGACTGCTTAAATTTTACAGGTTCTTGGGGACATAATTTCATGTATTCACTCATACAAACTTCTACAAAAGGAAATATGACTTTGAAACCCTTGTATATTAATTCATGGAGGATGTATATTCATGGATGTAGGGTTCCCAATACATGTAATTCCATGAACATGCCACCACAAAATCTAATGATTCCAAAGTAAGTCATAACTTTCACTGTTACCTTAGTCATGAGTGCAGTACCAAATCCTCCTTCATAATTATTGCTAGAAGGGACATTCTCAAACACCCCGGGGCAGGGGTTGTAAGTATCACTGGACCAGCAGCGACCCGAACTCATGTTGAGAATCTTTGCCAGCATCTTTGGATCAAGACCCAGCCTTCAAAGTATGGGCACAAATGTTAAATTCTGCATCTTCAAAGTACTTTTCCATGTTTTAAAAATCAGTAATTAAAATTAAAACTGAACATAGTTTGATCTGGAAATCTGAAAATACTTCAAGAATTGTATACTGCATTTAAATATTTTGCATATATCAATCTTTTGACAAATGGATTTACAAAATGTCTGACTTCAAAATTTTCTCCATCACAGTCTTACTATTTCTAATGAATATTTATGCTACATTGTTTGCCAACACTCCAGTTTTCAGTAACTTACTTGATCCCCAGGTTCATGGTTTCTGATGTCCCAATCATAGAAATACCCAATAACATATTGTTGCAAATTTTAGCTGCCTGTAATATATATACTGAAATTTTACTTCTATATTCAACCATAATCATAAATGCTTTACATAAAACAATGTTCATGAAAATACATATACAGTTTGGAAAGCCATTTAATTTTTTCACATTTTGAATACATTTGTTTGATGGCTGTACATTACATGAAAATCTTTTCCTACCTGTCCTGTGCCCACTGACCCGCAGTGAACTACATTCTTGCCCATGTTCTGTAAAATTTCCTGGGCTTCTGGGAACTTTGATTCTGGTCCGCCCACCATGAAGGTAAGAAGGGCCTGTCGAGCAGCATTTACCCCTACAAACAGAATGAATAACATACAAGTATACATCAAGAAAATAAGTAACATACATGTATAGGGCACTTAGACTTGGATGCAGTAGGATGATATGTAGGAGAATTTTTAATTTCTACTTACCCCCAGAGACAGGTGCATCCAGGTAGAATGCCCCCTTGCTCTCAGCAGCCTTAGCCATATCCTTGGAGACAGCTGGGTCTATGGTACTGCTGTCAATCATTATACTTCCCTTCACAACCTTGCTAAAAATGAACAGATATGATCTCAGTACACATATAAGTGAAACCTACTAAAAGACAAAAAAATGAATTCAAATACTAATGCAATAAAATTATTGTCAAAAGATAAATATTTCAAAAGATCAAAAGACAAATCTTCAGGATGGAAAACAAGATGATGAAAATTCCCAAAAATGTGTCTACCAGTACATAAAATGAAGAGATAAATGTCTTTTAAAAAAGAGAGACTTTTGTTCTATTCCTAAAGCGTTTCTTTACCTCAGTACGCCATTGTCACCTGCATAGACCTGTTGGACATGCTGACTAGCTGGCAACATTGTGATAATTCTGTCTGTGTTAGAGGCGATCTCAGCTGGATTACTGGCAGCTTTAGCACCTAGCAGACAAACACTAGCATGTATGTGTGTACTCAGAACTAATTCTCTTCTAACAAAAAAATTCATGAGTTTTGCTCAAGAGTGTATTTAAATTCTCTAAAAGGTTCTTAAACTACTATACAAATCACTTTCCTATTTATCAGTTATCTGTAATGCACAGGTGTAGGTTCTTTATAGCATAACTGCATAAAAGTATGTTGTTGTTGAAAATAAAATGATCTAACTACAATCCAATAAGAGTTATTCCCCTTTCTGCACTGGCATATATAGGGCAAAATACATGTGAATTAAGAATTTCATTACTTACCAGCTTGTTTAAGTCCATCAACAGCAGCAGTGTTCACATCATATACAAGCAAAGGGTAGCCCTTGCTGACCAAGTTCCTTGCCATGTGATTTCCCATGTTTCCCAAGCCAATAAAACCAATGAGAGGTTTGCCATCCTATAAAAGTATAACATTATTGGATGACTATGCCTTATCAATCACTTGTTATTAAACATTTTCAAGTTTACATTTTCATTTTTTTTTGTTTCCATATAGTGATTTTCTCAATCTTCCACATATTTCTTTGGAACTATTGAGATATCCTCTGTAATTCTTATAGAATCCCTACATTTATCATGGGAAAACCTCTTCAATTTCTGCAAATATCAAATTTTTAATTTTTTTTTTTTAATATATGTATATCTGAATTTGCAGATAAAAAATTAAGGGTGAAATTACCACTACATGATCTTAGAGTAGATCTAGGAGTTATTTCCCTTGGTCAGCAAACTTTTTAATAAAGTATTGCCTTAAAAAAAATTAAATTTCTTTCATTTGTGGCCCTAGGGAACACAGATACTGTGCTTGTATTTGTCATATTCTGTTCCGATCATGTTTTGAATAGTACTTTCAGTTGTTTGTCCATTTTCAGGCACAACAAAGAACTCTGACAAAATGACTGTTGACTAAATATAGAAAAAGGTATAACACAGTCTTTCTTACCTGTACTGGTCTTGTAACTGTAAAAATAAATTAGACTTAAGTATTTTAATAACTCTACTAGATATAAAGCATTTTAATTCCACATTACTAAAATTTCAGGATTTGTTACAAGGGCACTAATTGCGATGGTTTTAATTTCACACTTAAGGAATGCGGTTTGAGAAGGATACTTTAATGTGTGATCTGGTAACCTTTTTCACTATATTTATATATAGGTTTAATTCTGCAGGAAAATGATACATCAAATACAAAGTAAAATTAAAGACTTTTGAATTAATTTTCCAATCTACAGCATCTTCTTGTCTAGTATATATGCTAGATAACAGATTTTTCTTCCTTTTGAACTGAGTTCTTAATTTATTAGTTACTAGGTTTTCTTTGTGTGTGTGTCAGATAGCATAACTGGAACAATTTCTAATTTCATAGCAGAAAAAGTTCTATTTTCAAAAGCATTTGCTTATGAGTAAATAAATAAAAGTGTGGGGGTTTTTTCACTCTTTTCCTGTGAATTAAAGATATATGTACTGTGTGACAGTAATCAATCATGTACTTTCTTGTGTGTATCTGTAGTTATCATGGTCAGTAATGTAAATATGTTAAAAAACAACAACAAATCAAAACAAAAATAGAAAGAAAAAAAATCTTAATCTGAAATGAATGATATTGATAACAAAAATAAAAATCCGAAGCATATCCATGATATCTGGAGAAGTTCATTCCTAGATCTATCATCCATACAAGTTTGGTAAACCATAGGTCTTATAATTATCCAGGATTGGACCTGCTAAAGATACTTTAACCTGGCAATTCATTTACAAATGTAGATCAGATCCAAAATCTGAAGCAAGTCTGGTAATGTGCATCCCTAACTGCATCATCTTGCAAGTTTAGTCACAATAGGGCAAACAGTGACTTAGGAAAGAACCTGCTCCAAAAACATACACCAGATCACTCATCCAGAAAATGAAGGTCAGTACCAGCATCTGCCTGGTAGTGAGCATCACTACAAAATCAACCCTGCAAGTTAAGCCACCCTAGGGTTTTATATATTAGTTTCTTGGGAATGGACCTACTCCAGAAATCAGCTTTAACCTGGTCAGTGGTCACCCATCCAGAATAATGAGAATGGGTAGATCAGATCCAGCATCTGAAGCATGTCTGGTAGTGTGCATCCCTTGATAACTTCATCCATGCAAGTTTGGTCACCATAGGGTTTCCAAGTACTTGGGAATGGACCTGCTCCAAAACCTTTAACATATTCACTCGATCACTTAATCATTACAAATGAGACACTTTTAATCCAATTATCAAATAATTCAAAATTTGACTTGCTTCAGTTGCAACCATTTTCTCAGTTGTAACTGTAAAATCTAATTAGACTATTAGGCATTAAAAGCCTTAAGTGAATAAAGTCAAGTTGTCAAGTGATGACGGTCTGTAACATAGAGGAAATTCGACCTATCGCTATAAGTTCAATCGCAAATGATTGATCCTGCGCAAATCATAATTCACAGGTCATTGTATCTTTACCTGAAAAACACCTTTTGCAGATGCTTTTGGGGGTTGTTTTTCGCATTAGATTTGCAAACATTATTTTTGTTTGGTTGACCGCTGCCATTCTTTGAATGTTGATCCCGAGAACAATAAATTAATAAATGCATTTGAACCCGATAAAAGCTCCATGAATATCATCTTCGCTGTTGTGTGGAATCCTTGCAAACCCTTTGACTGGGTATCAAGTAGTCCGGAGCTAACAAGACAACAATTTATTATACTAAATAAGGTATAAACGTTTTAATAATAATAAAAAAAGATATTAAAAGGGATTCATCAAAAATGAAACATTGGAGTTCCACATATTAAAGAAAGCAAGAATGCTTGGTATTAAAATATTAAGCATATCAAGAGAATCGAGTGGTATTCTCAAAAAAGATATATCAGCTTGTGAGAAAATGTTTTGTCAGAACTTTTAATATCCGAACTATCAATTACAATTTCAGTTTATACTTGATACTATATATTTGAATTAAATAACTTTTTGCTTAACTTTATAGACAATGGGATGACGTTCTGAATTCTTCTCCTGTAAAAGGACACCCAAAAAGTATCCATATTTACTAAACAGAATAACATCAGACAGAACATAAGGCTACCCAACTGAATAAACATTTTGCAGAGATTTCTCAAATTGAACATCATAGAGAACCCCAATTGCCCCCTCAAGGACCTGGTCCCCAGTATTCTATAGATTCCATAAGTATTTCAACTCAAGATGTTATTGATCAACTTGAAAATTTAAACATATCAAAACCTCCTGGTCCTGATGGAATTGCACCACAAGTATTAAAAAATATAATTCCTGCCATAAGCAGACCTCTCACTAAATTATTCAATCTCTCCCTAAAAACTAATAAAATACCATATATTTGGAAGCAATCGGATATAACACCTGTATTCAAAAATAAAGGGAGCCCAGAAGACCCAGCAAACTACAGACCAATTTCACTTACCAGTAGTCTGTGTAAAATCATGGAAAAAATTGTATTTAAATATCTGTACAATTATATGTTTAATCACAATCTTCTCTCTAAGAACCAGTCAGGCTTCCAGCCAGGTGACTCCACTGTTAATCAACTTGTTGAAATTTATAACACAATTATATCGAACCTTGACCAAGGTAAAGATGTTAGATTTGTCTTTTGTGACATATCTAAGGCTTTTGATAAAGTATGGCATAAAGGACTGTTATATAAATTACAACAGTATGGTTTCACAGGTGATATCTTAAGTTGGATTGAGAATTTTCTCTGTGATAGAGTCCAGAAGGTAGTGTTAGAAGGATACTCCTCTGGATTGGAAAGTGTTAATGCTGGAGTCCCGCAAGGGTCAGTTTTGGGTCCATTTCTTTTTCTTATCTATATCAATGACATAACTGAAAACATACAAAATCAAATAAGACTGTTTGCAGATGACACATCCTTGTTTGTTATTGTAGATGCTGACACAGTCAGCCCAGCAGTATCTCTTACTGATGATCTTGAAAAAATAAGGCAATGGTCTCATCAATGGCTAGTTGAATTTAACTCTACGAAGACAGTAAATGTTAATTTTACCAGAACTCAACGAGTACACCCAAATATCTCATTTGGGAACACAATGAATAGTATTTCTCAGAATCAAAGTCACTGTCATCTAGGGCTGACATTACAGTCTAATGGGGGGTGGTCCGAACATATTACAACAATTTATGAGAAAGCTTGCTTACGACTAAATATATTGCGTACACTTAAATATAAATTGAAAAGGGACTTGCTAATCAAAATATATCTTTCATTTGTTCGACCAGTTGTAGAATATGGGGATGTGGTATGGGATAATTGCACTGAAGAACAATCCAAATTACTGGAAAGTGTTCAGGTGGAAGCTGCAAGAATAATTACAGGTATTAGGTGCAATACATCCAAAACTAACCTATATTATGAGTTGGGATGGGAAACCTTAAGTTCAAGGAGGGAAAAGCATAAGCTCACACTGATGTATAAAATCCTTAATAACCTTACCCCTGATTACATGTATAATATGCTCGAGGGATGTATGCCAATTCAGCATAATTACAATTTACGCAATCAAAACTCATATCGTATCCCAATCACTCGAACAGTGTCTTACTATAATAGTTTTGTACCATCCGCAATATCCTTATGGAATAATTTACCTGATGATTGTAGAACTTCCCCTACATTGCAAAATTTCAAAAAAAGATTAACCTACACCAATCCCATCCAGAAAAATAAAGTTAAGTTGTACAATTATGGGAATAGAATTGAAAATATACTACATTGCCAGTTGAGAAATAAATGTAGTAACCTCAATGCTGATCTTTTTAAAGACCACCTCAATGATTCACCAAAATGTACAAATTGTGGATACCAAATTGAAGATTCATTACATTTTTTCATGTATTGCCCACAGTATGTTCTTCAAAGACAGATGCTGATTAAATATATGAATGAGAATGACATACCAATTAATATAGATAATATACTATATGGTGCTGATTCCTTATGTTTAGAAGACAACTTTTCATTTTTTGATCATATACATACCTTTATAAGAAACTCAAAGAGGTTTTCACTGAAATCTTAGTTTATCATGATATGCTAGGAAGAATAATATCTTATTTTAGGCATGTTAAGGAAGTTTTTCCACTCTGAGTCAACTTTATTATGTTTTTTTTATGGTCTTTCTCTGTCTCTATTTACTCTCTCTCTCTTTCACCCTCTGTGGATTCACTTTATACATGTACCAATTAATGGTTTATTTTATATACTGCTTTTCAATGTTAAATGTACTTTATTATGTTTTTTTTTCTCTCTATTTTACTCTCTTTTTCTCTGGATTCACCTTATATATGTACCAATTAATGATCTATTTTACATACTGTTTTCAATGTTAAATGTACCAATAATTGTTATATGTACCTTGACCTATGGAGAGAACGATTATAGGCATTATGCCTGCTGTTCAATCCATTTCATTTGTAATGAATAAAATATATTTTAAACTAGACAGAACATAAAGTTAATTTCCTGAGGAAAAAACACGTTTATGATATTTTATTGCATTTTATTTTACCCGCTCCTTGGAAATGAAGTTCAAGTAACGTTATGTCTCTGGCCTAGCTGATTACATTTATTTTCCTTCGTCACTTTTCTAGTTTTAGCATTTTCCTACATTTTAAATCAAAGTTATTTGTTTATGTATTAAATTTTTACCCTATGGTGCATAATAACTTATCTTAATACTTTGGGGTAAAAAAAAATATTGCAGAAACAAGTGCCCGTGTCTTGAATAACAATATGTTCATACATTCCATCTTTATTTCCTCTTTTCAGAGATTTTACAAGAGGCAAAATTTACATGTTATATCATGCTATGTTAGGAACATCAAAATGTAAGTGACATTTAAAAAAAAGGAAAAAGAAAAGATATATACACACATTATTGTCACCTACTTATTTACAAAATAGGTAATACATGAGGGAAAAATTATGTTTGAGTGGAGACCCTGCTGAAAAAGGGAGAGGCTGTGTTAATTCTACATAAAAATGATCATCAAATTTGTTCACTACGCAATCAAAAAGGAGTTTCTGATATACTCTTTGGCAGAACACCACGACGCAGCATGTTGGAAGGGATCGCTATAATATATTTTATCAAAGAGAGCACACGTTTGTTGGGATAATTGAGGTGTTACAGTCCATAATTTCGCAAAAAAAATGTTATCAGTCTGGTCTCATCAAAAGAAAAGATGAATTTATGTACATGTATTCTTACTGGAGTTATGCTATACGATGTAAATCTTTAAACATTACGAAGTCTCTGTCCGTTTCGGTTCTGTTTGTCCAGGATAAGTTTTGATTACAGAAAAACTACCAAAGTAGTACTTGAGGTATATGAAGTATGCAAAAGACTGTTAATATATATGTTACACATGTTCGCAACTGGCGACAAATCTAGTATTAACGAAATCTTTGACAAAAGCTAATCAAACTTCTGTCCTTTGTGACACCTCAAAAATTATTTGATCGAACATCGTGTTTCCATTCGAACACTTCTACTATACGTATGAACGAAATGGAAGAATCTATAACCGACCCGGCCAAAGACAAAACCATCAGTGTTTTGACCTCTGACCAACAAACACTCCAGTCTCAGCACGACCAACTTTCTCAAGATTATGAACAATTAAAAGCCGAATCATCATCAAAATTCTTTTATTAAAGAAAACATGACACGAATCAGTGAAGCTTAAGTAAGCCCTCTATCAGTCTATGGCAAACCGCTTGTCATGTTGTAAATTTTGAATTTACCGGTTGGCAGTAAACAAAAAAAAATTACAACATTGCAACTCAATTGGCCAAAAGAGCTCCTTTTAAGGATGGATTCTTGTCTGGTTTCTGACTAGATGAAATATTCAAAGTACATTTGTATATATACGTCTTATATATTTAGATGTAAGGGATTTAAAAGATCATATTTTTCTGTCCTCAACATAATTGTACAACTTTAAATAAAAATGGTAAACTGAGTTTGAAATCTAGCAGGGACTATATTTTTGGCGGAACGAATGAATTTTATGAAAATATCTCCTTTTCTGCTTCTCATCTCAAAATTACTATAGAACAATGAATTTAGTTAAAATTTTTAAACAATCAAAGACTTAAAGAAAACAAAAGTAAGTAAAATTAATAATAATGGACTGAAGTTTTAAAATATATCAAATAAATATGATTTCCCAAACAAACTACAATTTTGTTAACTTTTAAAAGCTTCCAATCTAAGTAAAGATTTGAGCAAAAAATCCGTAAAAAGTGATTTTTCTCTTAGTAAACGGTAAAAAAATTTTGTTTTTGTATCAATTTGTATCTTTAGATGTCTACTTTACCATATGTGAAAATAAGAAAAAAATATATATACGAAGCATATAAAGAAACTAAATATATCCTAAAAATCTAAGAAAAATAGAAGAAATTCGGATTAGCCAATATCTATTTTAGTTAAATTATTTATGTCAATTTGGTAGTATCATCTGATAGACCCTATATGGCAATATCTGGTAATATGGTAATATCTTT